CAACAGAAGTGTAGAAGCCGTTCTCAATTGTCACAGGTCGAGAAAATGTATATTGGCAACGCGTGCACGACGCTTGCCTATCTCGGCGCGGCAGTGCCGTAGCTACCTACAAGCGAAACTGGTATAATGGCCCAATAGGGCATGCACTCTGTATACAGGGAGTTCGGCCACCCTTGGGAAAAATTTTACTGGGAGATTCTAGAGGCCAAAATAAGACGAAAATCAAGGATACCAATTTGTTGATGGAGGCTTCGTTAAAAAGTTATTAACAATTAAATTCAAAAATTTCAAAACGTTCTGGAAAAATTATTTTCTGTTGCGGGGGTCAATTATAATCATTTTTGGTGAACAGACATACCCCCGAATTCCTAACCATTTTCGAAAAAAAAATTCGAGAAGGCGTGAAATTTTTTGACAAAATTAAAAAATTTCAAATCGTCGTGGAAAAATTATTTTTAGTTGCAGGAGTCAATTACTATCATTTTTTATCATTAGACATACCCTCGAAATCCTATCCACTTTCGAGAAAAAAATTTGAGAATGTGTGAAATGTTTCGACGGGAAAAAAAAATTTCGAATCGTTCTGAAAAAATTATTTTCAGTCCCGAGGGTCGATTACAATAATTTTTGGTGAATAGACGTACCCTCGAAATCCTGCGCATTCTCTAGAAAAAAATTCGAGAAGATGCTGAAATTTTTCGGCGAAATTAAAAAATTTCAAATCGTTCTAAAAAAATTATTTTTGGTTGCAGGGGTCAATTACAATCATTTTTGGTCAATACGTATACCCTCGAATTCCTACGCACTTTCGAGAAAAAAATTCATTACCGAAAATATAGTTTCTGGCCAGAAATGCTACCCCGAAATTTCATTTAAAATGTCATAACTCCTGAACGGATTGGACGATTTTAATGTTTAAGAAAGCAAACTACGCGTATTTTGCTAAGGAATACGTGGCAATTCCAAAAATATTCGAAAAGTTATTTCTTGATTCCGCAAAATGAGAAAAACCCCATAAAAATGGTCTAATTTTCAAACAGCCATAACTCCTATAATAGTGAATATATTTCGATGAAACTTTTTTCTAAAGTAAAGCTCATGGGTACCTACAAAAAAGTATTAGACAACTTTTCTGTAGGGCGTCAAATAAAATTACTAAAAATGAAAAACGAATTTTTAAGAAAAATCAACAGGGTAGGTGCCTTAATTTTTCAGGGAAAATGAAAGGTTTCAAATCGTTCTGGAAAAATGATTTTCGATTGCGTGGGTCAATTACAATCATTTTTGGTGAATAGACATACCCCCGAAATCCTGCGCATTTTTGAGAAAAAAATTCAGTACAGGCGGAACTTTAAACGTTAATAACTTTTTAACTAAGCCTCCATCAACAAATTGGTATTCTTGATTTTCGTTTTATTTTGGCCTCTAGAATCTCCCAATAAAATTTTTCCCAGAGATGGCCGAACACCCTGTATAGTATGTTTGTTATTTTTTGTAACTTTTATTGCTTAATATATTTGTATACTCTGGGATACTAATCACTGAATTATATTTTTAAAATCCATATAAACTTATCAATGGAATCATTCGAACATGTACGCTTTTCTAAGAAAGATCTGGAGTAAATCCTTGCTATTCACACTTCGCTCTTAGGAATATTATTCCTATTCTGTGAGGCAACCCAACAATAAAATGTTGTTTATTTTTTTACGTCTTTATATTTAAAAAACCATTCATATACATACAATGAACATCGAAATTGTTTAGAAATGGAAATGATCGAGAAATGTTTTTTACAAATCCACAAACAGATTAAAAAATCAAAAATGATAAACATATACAGGAATTGGGAGCCTAAGATATTATCGGTGTTTCATCCATTATGCGTAGCTACGGCACTGCCGAGCCGAGGTAGGCTAGCGATGGCCACGTGGCGGTAAAACGCCGTGCACGCGTTGCCGACGAACATTTTCTCGACCTGTGACAATTGAAAACTGCTTCTACACTTCTATTGGGCAGTTTCTTCTTCAGAATGTCTGCAGAATCAGATCCTGTGTATAAATTTCGTGTCACGTAAAAAACTTTTCGTAAATATGCAAAAGTATTGTGTATAAAGTACGTACTTCGACACTTTTTCAAACTTTGGCGATCATTTACAACCGTTCAAAAGCACAAGATATTATAACTATCGATGTTAGCATATTCAGGAGTCTCTCCTCTATCTTTTAAGATTAAAAGTGGAACTGTGTGATGTTTCTAATTTTCGCGTAATACCTCGTTTTCCCCCTAAATTGAACGTTTTCACAAAAACTCGTGTTTTTCGAAAACTGAGGGTGATACAGCAATTCCGTTTCCAGATTCGTGTTTAGGGTACGAAGCTCTATAAGAATTTCCTAGTGGGTACGGAAAAACAAAATTCGTGTTGAACAGTGTTACCCTTGAATCACCCGAGACTGGACGAAACGTTAGGACACTCGTTCCATATAGCACTGTCCGCTCTCACAAGGCTGCGGCGTAAACTCGACGCCGATACGACCCTCGACAGAGAATCGTCTGGGTTTCTGGTGGAGCACGAGTCCTTAGGTCACATGACTCAGATTGAGCCCATTGACCAAACTAGACTGTACATCCCGCATCGAGCGGTCATTCGCACGGAAAGTGCAACCACCAAACTGCGGGTTGTATTCAATGCAACCAGCAGAACGGTCGGCGGGCGATCCCTAAACGACGTCCTGCACGTAGGACAAAAATTACAGAACGACATTACCTCGGTTTTAACGAGGTGGCGTCTGTATGAGTACGTACTGGTGGCCGACATCGAGGAGATGCTTCGACAAATTCTCGTCGCCCCACAGGACCGTCGTTCCCAATGCATCGACTGGCGCGCGTCAAAAAACGAACAACCGAAAGCTTTCGAATTAAATACCGTAACATACGGTACGGCGTGTGCCCCATATTTATCGATGCGTCGACGAAGTATTTATGGGAGCGCCGGATAAACCCTTGGTAGAGAAAATTCGCAAACAAGTCTGCGAACTCCCGCAGGTTGGGTGGGTTCAAGATGAGAAAGTGGGCTGGAAATTCCGCGCAATTATTACGGAATATCCCCCAAAGTGCTCACTCCCACGCCGTAGACCTCACTCTGTTCGACGATTCCGCACTAAAACTGCTTGGTCTACGATGGATCCCATCCGGAGGCTACTTCTATTTCGATCTGCAGCGGTTTCAACCGTCTGCGTTACCGATGACAAAAAGAAATTTGTTTTCGGAAATCGCGAAGCTCTTCGATCCACCCGGCTGGTTATCACCAGTCGTAATCCGTGCAAAAAATTTGATGCAGTCCCAATGGCTGGAGAAAATCCAGTGAGACGACTTTCCACGGATACGCTCAAAACGTGGAACACGTTTTGCATGGATTGAAGCAGTCTCAAGGAACTAAAATTCCCAAGATGGATCCGATACGGAGCCGACACAGTTTCTGTGGAATTACACGGATTCTGCGATACTTCACTTGCAGCCTACACGACAGTCGCGTATTTACGCGTGACGACGAAAAATAATGACGTTTTTACGACATTAATCGTGGCAAAAACACGAGTGGCTCCGATAAAAACACAGTCCATCCACGTCCTGAAGTTGAATGGGGCTGTACTCCTCTCCGAGCTCGTAGTGCACGTAAAATGGTCCCTCCCCATAGAAATGGGCCGCATAATCTGCTGGACGGACTCTACGATTGCACTCGCTTGGTTGAGAAAGCATGCGTCGACATGGAAGGTTGTGATAGCCAACCGCGTATCAAAAATCCAGACCTTGCTCCCGAAAGCAAATGGCGCCATGTTCCCACGCGTTTCAACCCCGCGGATCTAAATTCGCGAGGTGTAGAAGCTGCGGAACTCATTCAGTCGGAGTTATGGATTTCTGGGCAGAAGTGGCTTCGACAGTCAGAGGAAAATTGGCCGAAAGCGCCAGTCTCTTTCGAGACCGAGGAGGGTAAACGAGTAGTATAGCTATGGGGATTCTAACCCATGGGGCAATGAGGGGAGCGTGCGGCGAGGGGAAGTGAGGGCGCGCGGGGGAGTGCGGCGCGGAGAACTTTAGGCGCGGGGCCTGTGGGGAGTGGAAGAGTGGTTGCGCGCACACGAGCCGCGGAGTGGGGGATGTCAGGGGATTAGTCCAGGCCGAGCCGCCGCGGAGACCTCTCCAGACCTGGCCCGCCGTCGGAAATTTTTTAAGAGGGGGGGGAATGATCCCCGAAAACTTTTCATACCGAACCGAGGGAGGGGATGACCCTCGAAAATTTTTTTCAACACCCACAGGCATTTTTTTATTGTCTTTTCGGCGTTCTCGGTACGTTTGATGAGATCTAAAAAAAAAGAATTACATAATGTTCTCCTAAGAAAATATTTACAGCTAGCGAAAAAAAAAACAACACATCATTCGGCTCGTAAATCTATTCTTTCTATTTATTATTCTAGTACTCGTATAAATTCAGATTTTTATAGTTCACTGTGGTTAGGTTTGGTCAACCTCTTGCAAAACGCGTTATAGAAAATGGTTAATATCATTACGAAACACAAGAAATAAAAAGTTTCATACTGTATACTAAATGCGAAAATTTACTCGAAAAATTGCAGCTCCTCTTTCATCCAGAGTCGAGTCGAGTCTCGCGCAACGATGCGTTTTCACGCTTTGTCAGCGAGTACGTTATCTGCTGCGTGCCTTTCGCCGAAGTCGTTGCTACGCGAATATGCAATATCGTGTTCGCGACACGCTGCGTCCAACGGATTAAAATATAAAATATAAAATATAAATTAAATCGACGGTCCAGCCTTAGATTTATGCGAGGAGAGAATGTGGAAGACGGGTAAATAAAATTGGAGAAATAATATATGTTTTAAATGAGAATATATTGTTACAATAGAAGAATATATTGTTTTTGTTTTGAAAAGTCGAATCTTAGAATTATGCGAGGAGAGAAGGTGGAAGACGGGTAAATAAAATTGGAGAAATAATATATGTTTTAAATGATACTATATTGTTACATTTTTTTTATGCGAGCATCAACTACAATATCATTGATGGCGCATCCTAACAGTTCACAATCTACAAGATAATCCTTGCAGTAATATTCACTGTCGCGTATGATTTTAGCAGCACAACGTGTATCTAATGTTTCGGAGACAGCATCGCTTTTTTGTTGCAGCACGTTAACAAAAGTTTTAAATTTTGTCCTCACTTCTTCTGCAGTTTGATAGAGCCGCGGATACACATAGCTTACACACGGCTCAAGATTAAATAAAAATGTTACTGTATTCGGTTTGAAATACAGCGACTTAGTATCCATTGTCATCTTTACAATCGGTGAATCATACATGTGACAAAATTCCACCGTTAATTCATGAATCCGCATCAATGATGACCCTGGCAATTGTGCACGTTCCTCGATGGTTGTACAGCTGTCGAATAGTGTGTTCCATGTATGCCATGGTATTATGAGATGATTCCCACGATTATCGCCGAGAAGAATTTCTACATCGGCTATAGGACCTACTCTGATTCCAATTTCCAAATATTTGCTGCCCGAGGATGTTAATGCGTATCTTCTGACCATGACACGCGATGGTTGGCGCGGCCTAAAAGCATAATCATGAAAATTACCTTTTTTCATGAAAAAACATAAATAAATCAATAAAAAATTATGAAAGGTTACCTGTTAAATGTATTCTCCTTGCATGGAGATACACCATCATCTTGCACGATTGGAACGTAATAACGCATGGCACTGGTACTACACATTTTCTTTCAGAGCACTATTTGTTCCGTCGAAAATTCAGCGAAGCTACTGAGCGATTGATGGAATAGCGTCCGGGGAGACGGCTTAAATAGAGGTGCAATCCCCACCACATTTTATTCTAAAGCTACCATTTTTTTTCCATAATGCTTTTGTTCAATCTTAACATCGCAGCATATCGCGCGATTGCATGTAACTTGGGCCTCCAAGGATAAAAGTCTCGACACGTGTTGAATGTAATATAATATCTGTGGAAGCGCTGAATCTTAGAATTATGTGGAATCAGTAGAAACTGTGTTGAACGATCTTGCGCACTAATTCGTCATACGAGTGAATCATGGAAAGAATTATGCGATATCAGCAGAAACTGCATAGAACCATGTTGGCATGCAATGCATTTGAGGGAGGGGGAGAGACACCGAAAGAGTTAGGCAGAGATACCAAATCGCTGTGCTGGTATAAAAGCACGCTTTAAACTGCACAAGGCCTCAAATAGTTACAACGTGTTGCATTGAAAAAAAGGATATTACATTTACATTTACATTTACATTCCATTTACATTCCATGCGTGCCTTTCGCCGAAGTCGTTGCTACGCGAATATGCAATATCGTGTTCGCGACACGCTGCGTCCAACGGATTAAAATATAAAATATAAATTAAATCGACGGTCCAGCCTTAGATTTATGCGAGGAGAGAATGTGGAAGATAATTTCTTTCCCCCTCCTTCGTAACAATTTTATAAAATTATGAACTCTCGGAATACATCTTACGAATCTTTTTAACGTTTTGCAAGCTTCAAAAAAATTTATATAAGTTAATGAAATGAGATGTGAGTAGTATAGATATGGGGATTGTAACCCTGTTGGCAAGGGGCGGACGAGGGGAAGTTGTTGCGCGCGGGGAGTGCGGCGCGGAGAACTTCGGGCGCGGGGCCTGTGGGGAGTGGAAGATTGGTTGCGCGCACACGAGCCGCGGAGTGGGGGATGTCGCAATCGCGGAGGGGTTTAGTCCAGGCCGAGCCGCCGCGCCGCGGAAACCTCTCCAGACCTGGCCCGACGTCGGAAATTTTTTAAGAGGGGATGACCCCTGAAAATTTTTTTCTACACCCACAGGCATTTTTTAATTGTCTTTTCGGTGTTCTCGGTACGTTTGATGAGATCTAAAAAAAAAAAGAATTACATAATGTTCTCCTAAGAAAATATTTACAGCTAGCGACAACACATCATTCGGCTCGTAAATCTATTCTTTCTATTTATTATTCTAGTACTCGTATAAATTCAGATTTTTATAGTTCACTGTGGTTAGGTTTGGTCAAACTCTTGCAAACGCGTTATAGAAAATGGTTAATATCATTACGAAACACAAGAAATAAAAAGTTTCATACTGTATACTAAATGCGAAAAATTTACTCGAAAAATTGCAGCTCCTCTTTCATCCAGAGTCGAGTCGAGTCTCGCGCAACGATGCGTTTTCGCGCTTTGTCAGCGAGTACGTTATCTGCTGCGTGCCTTTCGCCGAAGTCGTTGCTACGCGAATATGCAATATCGTGTTCGCGACACGCTGCGTCCAACGGATTAAAATATAAAATATAAATTAAATCGACGGTCCAGCCTTAGATTTATGCGAGGAGAGAATGTGGAAGACGGGTAAATAAAATTGGAGAAATAATATATGTTTTAAATGAATATATATATTTTGTTATGTGTATATGAAAAGAATAAAAAATACAACAAATAAATAAATAAAAAATTAAAATTAAAATAAAAAAATAAAAAATAAAAAATAAAAAAATTAAAATTAAAAATAAAAAAATTATTCCTCCGGCGGCGGCGGCGGCGGCGGCGGCGGTGGCAGTGGCGACGCAAGCCGAGGTATTTGTCGTGGCGGTCTTAGTGGCCTATCGTCGTTTGCAAACGGCTGCTGCATCCGCGGCCACCGGAAATACGGAAAATGAAGATGTAATATTTCCACCCGCTCGCGCCAGTTCGTCGGCGGCGATGGTATTTCCGGTGGCGACGGCGTCTCCGGCGGCGTCGGCGTTGTAGGCGGCGTTGGGGAGGGCGGCGGAGACGGATCGTTCTAGAACCCACAATAACTGATATAATATTCACATGTAATAAATGCCATAAACATTGGTATGTACATACCTTCTCATTATCTCGCCGGGGCAATCCTCCAAATTCCGGTACAATGCGCGTAATAACCATTGTAATTATTATCCGTCGAATGTCGACTGAGAACTGTTCCCGCTGCATCTCCAGGCTCATGCATGTAAACCTATATCTCGAAAGATGTATAGCTTGCAAAATAGGATGTCTTTGTTCTTCATGTTCTTCGAAATCTTTTTTGACAATCTCCATTCTTCCATGCACGTATCATTGGCTAAGCCGAATCACTTCTCCTTCTTCTTTAAACCGATTATTCGACTAGCCCATATCAGTTAAACATGTAGGGCTACCACTTTTGAACGTGTCTCATACCATTTTGAACATCCAATGTACCACATTTGAACATCAATCGTACCACTTTGAACGTGTATGGCACCCATTTGAACGTATATGACACCACTTTTACATAATAATTATAACTATCATCTTAATCTAGTGTACATCACGTGCAGGAGATTGGATGGTAGGGATGAAGAAAAAAACATTAGTGCATTAAAAATTGATTATATTTTTATTTATACATTTCTCTCTGACGTTTAGACCACCAATTGAATATTTTAAATACATTTTGCATGGCACAATGCTTTGCGTGTCTGTCACATCGTAAGGTATTAAGTACATTTAGCTTTTTTAGAGATATGGTATCCTCGTAGTCCATGTCCAGTGTCTCAATGATCACGCTCGCTCTCGCATTTTCATCGATGAAATCAGCAAGCCAGTCTCGTTTCTGCAGCCCTTTAACATATGCGATATGCGGTGCGTCATCTTCTTCATCGACAACAGCTTTCGTAATTAGCTGTTTAGCCATACTGTACGGAACGTCTCCATCTTCCCACCGTAGTCCGTGATGTTTTGCCGTCAACCACCGGATGCATGATTTGTCAGATTTCGTAAGAAGACATTGCGGCATCGAACTCCCAAATATATAATGCGAGAGAATTGTTCCTTTTCGTAGGACAGCCACTTCCTTCACAACAAATCTTCCATCAACACTGAACCCTTGCAGGTCAACAAATGTTGGTACGGTCATTGTTGGATTTCCTAACCGTCTTGTTATGTTACAAAAATCATCTCCAGTAACGGATGTATATACTGGAGTTTCCGGTAGTTTTGGCCATGGTTTCTTAAGCCGCGTCCCCACAGGGTCGGCTTTTGCCGTTTGGCACGGCCGATCGGCACCCTAAGTACTTCTCGGCAAAGCCAAACACTGCATCGTCTTGGATAGCATGGCTTGAAAAGCCGAACGGCATGCCGACGAGTCGATCGGCACGATGTCGGTAACCATCAAAAGAGATCATGCCAAGACACGAGAGCACGAAAGTTTCATGTCAATTTCGTTCCAAAACCATCATCGATATACAAAGATACAGGAACTTTAAACGTTAATAACTTTTTAACAAAGCCTCCATCAACAAATTGGTATTCTTTCGCGATCGAACGGAAAATTTCACAGCGCGACGATTGCTACCTCCAGTTCTGAAAGGCCCAGGCAGGGCCATAAAGCCCCGTCTTGTAACCAAATATGGTCATAGGCGAAAGATTTTTTCCTCGTGCCCATATTTTTGCATAGTCGATAGCCTTTCGTTCCGTTCAACGACGGAATTTTCCGCAACCCCCACTAACTGTTCATCCCCTGCACTAGTCGACGAAGTCAGTGTTCCGTTTGATTAGCTCAGGTTTTTACGCTTTTTTATGTTGCCAGATGTGGAACCGTTACTTCGTCGCGAAAGTCCTCGAATATTCCGCATCTGGCAAATTTTGTTGTAAAATAATTTAGTGCTTTGTCGAAACGAAAGCGCTAGGCCCGAGTTGACCAGCGAAGGGCTATATTGTTCCGCGGGTGGTACGGTCTTCGAGGCCAAACGTCGCACAGTGTGACGAGTATATGGGAGTTCGGGACAAAATTAATAACTCCTAAACTATTCAATTTTCGACTTAAGGCCTCTATACTTTTTTTAAGAGGATACAAAGATGCATCGATTTATGACCAAAAAAATACAATTTTACAAAAAAAATTAAGGTGATCTTAACAAGTAATAAGTAACAATAACAGTAACAAGTTTCTTAACGGCAATGAAAAGATTAATTGTTTTTATTGCCCACCTATGACATCGTGGCAAAGGTGGAGCGATTTATAAATTATAAATGTAGGAATAAAATAATCATCGCGGCTGATCGGCGCTTGAACTCTGTTAAAAGAGTCGACAAATGTTCTTACACGTTTTTGTAAGACGGTTGTGCGACGGCCCTGCCAAATGACGAGTGAACGAACGCGAGGATAAGAGTGAGAGAGAGAGAGAGTGAATGAGTGAGTGAGAGAGAGCGATAACCCCGGGCAACGCGTCAATAGCATGAAGGAGACAGCTGACGAGAGACGGTCAGAGTCTTGTCAAGAGTGTAGCACAGAGAAATAAAGAGTTTAAATTATATCGTTTACCGACGGAATAGAATTTCTTGTATCACCGCATCCTTTTAATACTAAATCCCACATAAATACATACAGTTTGTATAGCAATTATTCTATGTGGTTTCGACAATAGTGGTACTCGTCGGAAAACAAAAATCAAGAATATCAATTTCTTGACTGAGGCTTCGTTAAAAAGTTATTAAAAAATTCTACGATACGGTCTTTTCTACGATACGTTTGCTTTAACGGTTGTACGAATTGGCTTATCTACGATTTAATTCAACGGTTTTACGGATTGGTCGATGTTTCCGGAGCCCGTTTCTTCCTCCGATACGCGATTTTGGGGGTGTCAACCGAATTTGGTATTAACTTTTAGCTCGACCGATTGGTCATCGACTTAGGGAAGGAGGACCCATTTTCACACCCCGTTTGGGAGGAAAACTCTTTCCTCATACCTGAACGTGGTGGAGGAAGAC